TAATATTTATTAAGTTTGATTTCAAGTAAAAACATTAAGCGCTAAATAGAAATATTAACCTAATTGTTTTCCAATGATCATAATAAAACACAAAAACTATGATAATATTCCATATATAGGCTATGGCCTATACGTAGTGATTCCCTAAAATTTTTAGGAACTTTATTTTATGTAGTACATATTTTATAAACATAATTTGTATTTAAATTGTAATATTTCAAACTTTAAAAGGATTCTGAGTGTAGACTCCTGTTATTTTTAATATTCTATTTTATTTTTATTCTTTAATTAATTTTATTTGTCCCACGGGCCGGCCCTATCCATGTTTCTCAATCCCCACAAATCGACAGACTTATTCAGACCGGGCTAAAAAGCTATGTTCTTAAATGGGCTCCAAAAATCATACCCCAGCCCTATCAAATCACGGGTTAGGCCAGGTCGGCCCAACGGGCCTTGCCCATATTGACAACTCTACTTTTGGTATCATTTTTTTGTTTTCTCATCTATTTTTTTTTCCGAACAAGTAGTTTATACGAACTTCTCAACTTTTCCTTGATTTTTTCTAGACAACACAAAGTGCTGAAGAAATTGGATTTTTTTTTCAGTGATGGAAAATGGAGATTTATTAGGTTCTAAGAAAAATGGAGAAATAGATGAGAGAAGTAAAATTAGTTGTAGTAATGGTGGTGAGAAGAATGTAGAGATTTTTCAGTACCTACAGATTCTACTATGTCTCCTGGGTTTCGATTTTGTCTGACGGTTGAAGAACTCGTATTAGATTACTTGAGGAAGAAGGGTCGATAAATGGAAGATAGAGATTTTTTAGCCTTTGAGATCTCACAGGTCCTTGCTTCCCCTTTTTTTTTTGCCTCTGTACGGGTACGGTTGAGCTACATCATACCTTCACCAAACTTCACTTGTGGGATTATACTAGGTATGTTTTTGTAGTGTTAATATGTGTTATTGTAAATGATCACTTTTAACTTTTACAAGGACATGATGCATCTTGAAATTACTGATGACATGACCTCAGATAAGAGGGTTTGAAGGTCACAGATTTGGTTGGAAGGTTAGTCGGTATTTTAGCATATTGTCGCATCCTGTGCTTACTGTGGACAAGACCTCAGATAGAAGGATTTAGTGCTTATGGATTAGGATTTAGTGCTTGCATCTTGTGCTTAGAAAAAGAGTCGACATATATTTAGTTTTTGTTTTATCTTCAAAAAATTAATCTATAACTGTAAAAAATATGTCTAAATTATTTAAAATCATAAAAAGATAATTAAAAATAGACCAATCACATGCTGCCAGAGCACTTGGCTACTAAAGGAGGGGGGGGGGAGTAGTGCTTCTAGAAACAAAATGAAATATGTTTCTAGATTTAAAAAGGAATGTTATTTATAGTTTATGAAAATTTACTTAAAAAGTACAACCAAAAATATATTGTCTGTCATTTTCCATTATTCAATAGATATTCTTCTCTCTATTGACTCTTTCAACGCTTCCCCACCCTAAAAACCCCATACGATGACTGAAGCCGCCACCGTCTCATCCATCCCGCTGGTAACCATTACCGACGGTGAATTTCGGGATGGCTCCTTCCAGACGGATCCGTTGTTACAGTCCGGAACCTACATCGACGCTGAACCGAACAACGATGTACTGCCAAATGAAGGAAATTGGGCCAATCTGACTCCGGTGCTGGCGGGGACTACTCTGGAGATGCAGAAGACCGCGTTGGCGGCTGAGATGCTTATGCCGGTGCATCAGGTGAATGTTGAGAGATCAAG